ATATATATATATATACAGATATATGCCTCTATGGACACATACACACACACACACACATATATATATATATACATACACATGTATGTATGTATGTATGTATGTATGTATGTATGTATGTATGTACATATATATATATATAATATGTATGTATGTGTGTGTGTCTATGTGTGATGTATGTATGTATGTATGTATGTATGTATGTATGTATGTATGTATGTATATATATACACCTGTATATACACATAGTCACGTACATACATACATACATACATACATACATACATACATACATGCATACATATATTCATATCGGAAGGCGCGGCGGCATGTTGTCTTGATGCCGTGGCGTCAAAGGTGACCGACAGGATCTCAGTGACTGGCTGCTCGGTTTGATTGATACTAGTAATCGTAAGAAGAATGATACTCATAAAAATACTGGGAATAATAAGACGACGACTAGTAGTAATAATAATAATCATAAGACAAAATAATCGTAATAATCGGGATAATCATGGTCATATAGTAATAATGATCATTTTCCAAGCCTCCACACTTTGCCCTCTCCGCAGCTCCAACTGCAAGCTCGAAACAAGTTCGCCTGTGGTTCCTGCATATCTAGCAGAGGGCATTTTGCCAGGCCAGTGTAGTCTTCGAGGCATGCAATGCATGTTCTGTGCAGCTGTTGCAAATCGTGTCAGCCGTCGGCATCTAGCCTTGCCCTGAGCTCAGGGTCTACGACGCTGACATCAAGACTTCCCAGTTCTGTGGCTTCGAAGACGTTCACAGTGGGTTTCGGGACAAGTTGCTGGCTATGCTTCGAAGACCCTCGCCTGCATGTTGAGGGGCACAGTCCCGTTACGGCCGCGTCCGCCGCAAATCTTGACGGCAAGTATATATATGTATGTATATATATATATATTGTTGTTCACAGGTCGTGATTTTCCTTTGTGTTGGAAGTAGCATTCCCCATCTATCTGCTGCTATCGTTGGCGGATTGTTACACCAGTCAACTAGCAGCTAGCAGCTGCCCCGTCACTAGCACTCCCTAGCGAAACCACAGCAACGGAGTTCGGTTTCTTTTCTTGATCAGCGCCTGCCCTCACGAAGTCACAAGATGTCACAAGTAAGGCGATGACTACGACCAGGAGAGGGTTGCTCACACTGTTGACGGCTGAGGGTTACTTCGCATGACATGCTTTGCACTGTTCTCTCCAACCCGCTTCCCCGACCGTCCTCACAGCACGTAGTAAGTAGAAGGAGATTCTCAAGCGGCCGTGCAGACTTCGAAAGTCTTCGCTGCTAAACCCGATAAAGCCCGACACCCTGGGCTTGTTCTCGTTAGTACTATTTTGGGGGGTCCTTATTATACGTATATTATAATGGGCCCCAAACCCCTATTCTAATTGTTAAGGCCCCTATACTAGGAGGGAAACCCCTAGACCCTAACAAGACTCCGGAACGTGGGGCAGGCGATTCGGGCGAAGCTACGCTTTTGTTCCAAAGTCGGCCTCCCAGCTTACAGAATCCGGTTTAGGGTTTAGGGTTTAGGGTTTAGGGTACCAGGGGCTTAGGGTTTGAAAGTTTCAGCAGTTAGTTTTATATAATTTCTAGAGGTTTGGACGGTTTTTGCTGGCGGACTCCGCTCCCTGAAGCGCCTGCCCTCAGCACTGAAGTGAACTTGCTCACCCGGCGAATCTTTTTGCCATGACCGTTCGACGTTTGACTTTTCAATCCTGCCTATAGTCTCCATTGTAGTTCCTTTTTGGGGTTACCTTTTGGGATCCTTATTATAGAATTGGTTAAACCAAAAAAAGGAACTACAATGGAGACTATAGGTGTGTTTTCTGTGCCATGAAACCCACAGGCCCCAAATCTTAAATCCATAGTTAAGACCCAAACCCACTGCGAGTTTACGAGCCGCGCTAGCGAGCGAAATTGAGCAGTGTCGAGAGACAAAATGACACTGGTGTGTGGCCAGCCTTTTCACAGCAGCAAACCTGCCCAGGGAAGGCTTTGGCCCACCCACTTGTCCTGGTAAGGACTTAGTTCCTTGGGCAAGTTGTGGGCAACGCTTCGATCATCGATCACTTGTGGAGAGCCTTCAGCAGACAAACGAGCAGCAAAGAGCCATGTATAGTATACGAGTAGTAAGGTCGAGGACATACGCACATATGTACATTGTCCAATACATTGTACATACATTTCACTTATACGTAGATACAGGTTCTGCAGACACATGAGCGGACATGACTTCACATGCGAACCCTAAAGTCGAATCCCCCGTAAGCTTAGACCCGAAATCCCGAAGCCTTAAATCCTGACCCCCTTAACTTGAAACCCAATGTAAAACCCCGTAAGCCCTCAAATTTTAAAATGGGCAGTTGCCTTTTTCGCCCCCAGGTCGCAGCTACCGGTCACTCCATGGGAGGTGCACAGGCCGACCCATTAGGGTCTCGGTTATGGTTTTGGGCATGGGTTTACAGGGTTTCGGGCTTTAGAGTGTCGGGTTTTCGTGGCATGAAGAACGGGTTATGACAGGGTTTTTGGGTTTAGGCTTCGAGAAGGTCACTTTGCTTTCAGGGTTCTAGAAGGGTTGTGTGAGGCTTTGGGCTTGGTGCCCATGTCGATTTTGGGTTCAGGATTTTGGAGTTTCGGCTTGAGATTATGGCACGAATGTATGGCGAGGAAAGGCAGCTACAAATCAAGGGTTTGGGTCTTTAGGACTATCTCTTCTCCGCGTCCAAGGGTTTTGATGACGGGAACAGATCTCGAGGCATCATGATCGTCACGTGGTTATGCTGAGTACTATTTAGTTGGAACGGTTGTAGACCCTGACTGAACCATGCTGCTGATGAAGCCGCGAGGCGCAAGAAAGCAAGGCTGCATAGTACGGCTGTTGAATTTCCAATGGGCCACGAGTGCAAATGGTGAGAATCCACACCCTTATGCTCTAAAGCTCCCAAGTCTAGAGACTGCTGTATCTTGGAGCTGTCCGAGACGTGAGAGTAAAACAACGCTTGCATTGTGTTGTGAGTGCTGGAACACCTCTGGTGAGTATGGGCTTCGACCATTTGAGCCGTAAGGTTTAGGGGTTTGCGAATTAGTAGTTGCTTTGCCCAATGCCGATAAGGCGGATCCTTGCTGTAGTTCGGTCTTGGCATGGTCTTTCGTAGATGCTTCTTGCCTCTCGCACGGACCCGTTTTGAATGGTAGGCGTTGCTGTGCAAGTTCTGTCGGGACTTGACCACAGTCTTTATCAACATCTGAAGTGGCGATCATGAGCAGCCGTCAAACAATACGGACACTACACGTGCATGTATGATCGCGCCCGCGTGCAAAAAAGGCAGAGGCACTCGTACCCATGGTTATTTGGTGTAAGCACCGCATTTCTACATGTGCTCTATCTACAGTAGTTGCCGGTGGTGTCTCCTACCGATGTGCGCATGTGTAGCTATGTATAGATGGATAAATCTTGACAGCCAGAAGAAGGATCAGTTTCGAAGGCAAAAGTGGCTGTTGAAGAAGCTTCTGTGTTTTGCATTACCACTGGCTGACGTTACGATGTCTCAGTCGCATCTTCCTTCTGAGTCTTACTGGTGATTGAGGGAGCCTCTGGAAAGGGTAGTGACACAGGCGGAGTTGTTCACAGCATGCGCGAACCGGCGGATCCCAAAGCCTTGGCAGACGGCAGGGAGCTTACTGTTTCTTCAGTTGCTGTGCCAAAGCAGGGCTTAGGACTAGGACCTTGGGATTTATGTAAGGCTTGAGGTGGGCATACTGTCACGACAATGTGTCAGAGGAGGATGTATGATACGATTCCTGGGCTGTTGGGTGCGTGCGGAGAGACACACGCACACACACACACACACACAGAGAGTCACCCACACACACACACACGCACACACATTTTTTCTTAGGTACAGACTTGCAGACACTCCGGGCAACACAAATCACTTCCATAAGCCCCATCATACATGTACGTTTGCATGTAGTTGTACATGCATGTACGCATGCATGCAATGCATGCATGTAGGTAGGCAGGTAGGTAGGGTAAGTATATATGCGTGTTCATGTGCACCTGTACACAAAAGTATGCATGCAAGTCGGTAATGTAAGTATGGTGTTAGCCGTGACGAGACTATCGACACCAGCACGAATAGGAAAAACTTAAGTTCAGTTATGGATGCCTCTGTGTAACGAGTCCGAACGAGAGGGCCATCATCATCATCATCACCATGACCATCACCACCATCATCATCATCATCACCATCATCATCATCATCATGTTTGTCAGCTGCACCAAGAATAGCTCCAATGGTGGCAAAGAGTTCGATGCTACTCTAATGCCGCAGAGCAATGTTCAGCACTCTGGAACAAGAAGCCCTAAACTTAATTATACCTCGAAGCATGAACGAGATGCTTGCAACTCCCTGCCCGAGATTGAATCGAAACCAAATGCCAGAGAGGCCTTTCTCTTTAAACTCTACAGGCGCTTAAAGGGCGTCTCGAAAGGACGCGCTGTCCGATCACAAGCTGGTGGCCTTCCAGTTGACGGGCCCGGAGCTCTTGAGACCGTTCCTGACGGAACAGGCCGTTCCGGGACTGGGCTGATCTAGAATAAAGAACTCTGTGTACACCTCGGGGTCATGTCCCTTGTTCTAGTTGAACATGGCCCCAAGCCATCGCCTCAGTAAGTATTAGGTACATTGGTTTCGAACTTCATGTGCCAAGGAGCTCTGCAGAACTCTCTCGTGGAGGGCACGCTTGGGGTTATCTATGTAGTGCAGTGTATGGAGTGCACTCTCCGGAAGCGACTTTGTAATTCCCAGTGTTGACGTTCTTCAGCTTTGGAGAATGACTCTGAAGCAAACGGTTCCACCCGGCTACTGTACCTTGACAGTTGGCTGCAGGGAGAAATGACTCTCATCCTAGCACTTAGAGCAGTAAAGGGACGGGGATAGAATCCTGCAGGGTCAGCACAAGCAGGTTTCAAGAATCCTGCTAGGTTGGGGTCCTAACCCTAACCTTTGCCCAGCAAATTCTGGACTACTGCAGCCCGACTTCAAGGGGTCGTGACGGTTGAGCCCGCGAGCATGATTTCCTGAATCGCGATTTCACCCCACTTGTTGAAGCCTTGGCACGACAAGCTGCCGAGTTGCCCGCCCTTCGTGACCGCGTCTTGACAGGCGAGGGGAGCCCTGTGCCGATGCCTGCTTACATGGCAAGCACCCTCATCTCCCAGGTGCCTACTATTATAGGGTACTAGAGCCCCTATAGGGCCCCATATAGTAGGTACCTGGGGGGTTAGGGCAAGTACCACTATACCGATGCGCCTGCATCGACCCATCGACCTGGGCCGGCAAAGAACCTGACGCCCGAAAACGTGTGCGACTGGCGCGGATCTCGTGGTAGGATTGCGCAGCCAACCTGGCAGGAGGAGGCCAAATAGACATGGCACATGTCCAGTGGCAATCAGATTGCCTCCGAGGCCACCAGCAAATCGAAGGTTGCAAGCTCGACGGACCGAGATCCAGGTCCGCGGCAAAGAGCGCCAAGATGATTGCGAACATGCTCCGAGACGAGGACATGCGGACAAGGATGGATGCAGAGGGCCTCGTAAGCATTCAGTGTTTGCTCAAAGCAAAGCCTGCGCTGGCCGCTCCTCTATCGTCGCCACCAAGCTCCTCGGAACTGCGAAGAGCTTTGTGCGGACGACAGAGGGGCAGGCGAGGCCTGGACAAGGCGCGGCGAAAAGTTCTTGGGAGCTTTCTCTCCATGCCTATCCTGGTACGGACGGCGGAAGCGAAAGACCGAGACGGCATCCTATACGGAATCCCACGTCAAGCATTGCATGGAGCACCCAGACTCGGAGTTGGAGGTGCGTGGGACTTTCGTTTCTTGGCGACGGCGTGCTTGGAAGCTGCGCCAAGGGGCGGAGCGGTGGAGCAGCTGCTTGCAGATACACAGGAATCCCGACTGCAAGTGAAGCTTGCTCAAAGGGCGACGGGTGAGATTCCTTTGGCATGGATTGTTGGACAGTAGGTAGATATAGGTTTGGCTTTGGGAACCAGGATGCCGATCATCCGAGGTGGGAGCAGAAGAGCTCGCAAAAGCGCTGGCTGACTCTCAGGTGCTGATCGTCGGCCGTCGGCGCTTGACCGTCCGAGTTCGTGAGCGAAACCCGGAAGGGGCACCCGAAGATGTGTCAGGCACACATCCAGAAGGCCCGGCAGAGACTCGAGAGGTGACCGAGAGGAAGACTTCCACCGTGCTTCGACGCAGCTCCGCCAGCTACTTCGAACCCTTCACCCTTCAGCGCTTAACAGGTATACCTTCTGGACCTGATCCTGAAGCGAGCCGGCCCGCCCCAGGAGAAGGGCCCGTGGCTCCGGAGAGGCACTCTCTTGGGTTGCTGCTTCAGCTTCGAGGATCTCCGCGGTCTGGGGCGGATCCAGTCGGCACTGTCGAAGCTGCAACCGGCCGACTGGGCTGCAGAGCTTGGCAGCTTGAAGCAGACCCGTGACGCCAGAGGATCCCTGCATGTAAGCACGCAGCTGGAAGTGCACAGCTTCGTCTGTGCGAGTGAGGCAGACCAGGAAGCCGCCGCATCTGCTGTCATGTACCTCTCAGCGAGCGGCGTGAGCTGGCACCCTCGGGAATGCTCAGCGTCCTCTCCTACGCCATTGCCGATGCCTTCAATGATCCGAGTCCTTTGTTTTTTTTTTTCTCTCTCTCTCTCTCTCTCGCAGCGGAGACAGAACTATGCGGAGCCTTGCCGGCCTTGTGCGAGTGTGAGAGTCGAAGCTGTATGCCGAAACCCTCCTCCTAATTCCAAGAGCACCCCCGAAGATTCGCTCTCTCGCCAGGTCCCCGGCGTGGTGCTGCGGAATGTCAACAACCGCTGCCTGGGCGTGGAGGGCCCCATGCAGACGGTCCGGGGCAGGGAAAGCGGGGGGAGTTTTAGGTTTTGGGGCGTTGCGAAAGGCTCTCACCGACAATTCCAAACCTGAGACTGTCCTGGGCTTTATATAGGCTTTGCAGTTTTCGTGGGGTTTATACAGGTTTTCAAAAAGGGATTACGTCGGAATCTAGCCAGCTCGACCCCCTACCTCAACAACCCAACTTCCTGGTCCCTTTCAATCTGGCAGGGCTTCAACACAATAGGACCGCTTTCACATACATACACCAAGAATGCCTAATCCCTAAGCTTCAACGAGCGGGTTTAGGACCTGGACTCGCGGCCCGTGTGCCTGAACCCCAGTTTTTGCGGGCTTAAAGCTATCCGGTGTTTGTTGTCGCTATTTCTGCATATGTCATGGCTTTTGGTTTCTGCTATAGATTGCACGGGGCTGTCGCTTTAAACCACAATGGTCCCCCAAAGACTGTAACAGTACAAACCCTACAGCCCTGAACCCTTGCACCTCATAGGTGGAGCCGTTTAAGCAAACCTTTCAATTTCAAGGAACTTTTTGGGATTTCTTTAAAGAGAACTCGAACCCTGATAAAGCCCTGTAATGCCCCAAACCCTATAGTACCCTCTAAGGAACCCTTTAAGGAATCTCTGGAGGCCTCCGGTAGCGCCCTGGCCGCCGAGCGCTGCCACGCGCCCGGGCCGCGACCGGCGCAGCGCTGGCGTTTGGGAGAGGCCGTGGCCAAACAGGTCAATAATATAGGGCCTTAATAACTAATTTCCTATGATATTTTGGGGACTTATTGTAATTGTATAATGTACCTTAAAACCCTATTCTAAGCATTAAGGCCCCTATAGCATACGGGGTTGTAGGTAGGGCTTGGCTTTGAAGGGTTTTCGCATCAGCCCTCTAAGAGGCTCGATAGAGGTCAGGATTTAGGGTTTAGACTTCAGGTTTAAGACGTAGAATCCAGGATATATGGTTTGGAGTTACTGGGGAGTTCAAACCGCGACTTTCCAGGTGGTCAGGCATCCCTGCAGCCCAATGACCCCATGTAGTTCTCTTGTGGCTCCAGCGATGTTATGTTTAGGACCCAGGAAACAGGTAGCATTAATAGTATTAATATAACTATTATTATTGTTGTTACTAGCGTGATTCAGTGATCAGTATTCTTAGTTGTAATTGTGTGAAAATTAGTTTTGTTTTGCTGTCAGCCAGTGACGCCGGCTAGAATGGAGGGTCTACTTGGAGGATCGTAGGACTTAGTAAGTAAGGTTATAAGTCCCTTAATTGGGGTTATAAGTATAGTTACCCTAATTATAACCCTATACTTACTAAGTCCCATGGTCCTTTAAGTACGGCAAGGTAGAGTTTCTTCAGGTCGAAGGTGCTTGGGCCCGGCCTTTCCGGCAAGTTTGCTGTTGGGGCTTGAAGAACGCAGGTTAAAGGTTCAGGGCCTATATAGTTTAGGGTTTAGGGTTTAATTTAGGGTCTATAGAGCTTTGGGTTTATACTTCGGCTTGCGATATTTTTGGTCATGGGGCCAGCAAGCGTCAGCGCCGGGCGTAGCTGTAAATTTTCAACATGAGACTAGCTTGAACTTTCGATGGGCGGTGTATGGTACCCGACCACTTGCACTACGCGCCAGACATGACGTCGTTGGAAATGCCCTGAAATCCACAGGATCTATGTTACGGTGATGCAGTTTGTTCCAACTGTCGCATCCCTCATCCGGTTGAGCTTTGAGCGGAGACCCCAAGCCCTAAAGAGCCCTAATCCGGATGAGGCTGGCAGCATCGTGAACGAAGCCACCAGCAAGTGCTTGACAGCCGTGAGCTTATCGGGAGAAGATGTGCATGGTGCCTGGAGCCAGCAGGCTCATGAGTTGCACATGTGAAGTCCAGCAGATGTTTGTTCCACCAGGAAGACATTCGCGATTGCAGTGTGCGTAGACGTGCCAACTGGCTCCTCGCTGTCATCTTCGAAGCTTGCATTGAGGGACCTCGAACCTGTAATTGCGACCTACCCCTGAGCCGAAGAGGTGGATGTTGACGACGCGTCGAAGCCTGTCACGCTCCATCTTTGCCGCCATCTTGCAGATGGCGCCCCTCACTCGAATCAGAGACTTTGAAGCACTTGTGGTGAAGAGGATTTGGGGTTCGTGGCTTACCACTCACTCTGGTTCTTCGGGGATATTAAGGGTTTCGCAGAGCCTTGGGGTGGTGTGCTGGTGGAGCCGTGGCCGAAAAGTGTGTTCCCACGGGATGTGTTTACATGTGTGATTTATCCACAATGTGGAAGAAGGTGCAGGCGAAAAGACACAGAAGGCCCCCGGCCTCCATCGGCCTCCCACCTACCCAAAATCATGTAGGAATGGGCGGATACCCTTGAAATTAAAGTGAGTTTGCGCGCGCTTGTTTAAATATACACTGGCATACATGCATACATGATCATACATGCGTAAACTCCTACGGTACCCTACCTCAGCTCATCTCACCTTACAGTACTTTACCGAAATACCGATCTACCTTTAAACCGGTGGGCCTCTATCATGCGTTTCTATGCTTATTCCAGTCGCTACCCTAGAATTGGGGGGGGTGTCTTTATCGCCTTTTCTTTGGCCGGCGGATTTGTTTCGTTGTTGCTTCCTGTCTGCTAATGGTCAACCCTGAGACACCCACAACCAGTATCCTCGCCCAGGCATGTCCGAGTGTGAGTGCTGAAACTCTAAAACCCTAAGCCTACTGAGTACTATTACTGTACTACTACAGCACTCTGTACCACTACTGTACTACTCCTGTACTACTGTACTACTGCTGCACTCTTACTGTACTGCTGTACTAATACTGTACTGCTGTACAGTACCACGCCTCAGACTTGGTCGATTGTGGCTGGGATGAGCGTAGGATGGAGGCAAAAAAGTCTTCAAAGGGAACGGTGCTTTAGTCTTGGTAGTGTTAGAGTGCTGAGTCTCGGTTTCGAGCTTCTGATGATCCCCAAATCGTCGGTACCCCTAAACCCTCGTACTGTACTGTACTACTGCTGTACTACTACTGCATTACTGCTGTACTATTACTGTACTACCGTTGTACTACTGCACTGTTACTCTACTATTACTGTACAGTACCAGGCCTCAGACTTGGTCGATTGTGGAGGGGGAGTGTAAGTTGGAGGAAGCCGTCTTCAGAATGAAGGGTGTTTAGTGTAATTGGTAGTTGTCTTGGAGTGACCGGGGCTTGGTTTCGAGCTTTTGGTGATCCCCAAACCCCCCCGAGACGGGCATTCGCGAAGCACCGCAGACCCTCCACGTCAGCCTCCCGAAAGGCCCCAGACTCCACAAAACCTTTCTAAAATAAAGCCGGCCACAACCACAATTAAAGCAGCCGCGCACGAATGGTCGGGGGGGGGGGGGCTCTCTTGAACCGGACGCCACATTACGTACCTACAGCATACATGCATGCATAACATATATATACATAGTAACATGACATGTAACAAGAGTAAATCGATATAGTCAAGGTACCCCATACATACGCTTACAAACTTGACCTTGCGAGATATCCTCATATGCGCAGTGTGCATGCAGAACCCTGGTGATACGCCCCAAAACCCTAAACCCAAACAGCCCTCAACCGTGACGAGACTATGTTTTCCGCGCTCAGGACCTGGGTGCACACGCCGGAAGGTCTTCTCGAGCAGAGGCGCTCAGGGTTTAGGGTTGGGTGCGCTGGATTCCCGCACAGACGATGGGTCAGAAGGGACAGGTCTTTAGTCGGCATTGGATTTCGGGAAACGCGGGGTGGACCATCCTGACTATGCTACAGTACCGCATCCCGAATTACTGGAACACGCAGACGGACCTTTGTTTTGCTCAGTTTTACCCCGGCTCGGGCAATCATTCGTTAGAGCTCTCTCGAGGACAAGTCTGCAAACTTCGTACAGTGAGCACTTGGGGGTTAGGATTCTGGGGTTTCGGTCAACTTGATCTCTAAACCCGCAGGTATATTGGCATGTCGGTCATGTCAGTGCATGAATGTGGCAGTAGCATTGCGGCTGGTGAGGCGCAGCATTCAACAGAGCCCCAGGCCCACAGACCATGAATCGGACCTAGCAGCCTCAGCAAGGAATCGTGAGCTGCATAGATTCTCGGTTTTTTCCGTTAGCTGTGTTACTGTTTTTTTTTTTACTGTCTTCCTCTTAGTGTTGCTCTGTTGTGCTTTCAGCTCTGGCCCAGGTCGGTTGAAAAGTGCTTGAATGCCAAGCTGCAGCTGCAGAAGTGCGCATTCTCTGACCAGCAGTGGGAGCCCACTGTACCTGGCACTGAAAATGAGTTCAGTCCAGTCCCCTCTCTGTGTGTGTGTGTGTCTGTCTGTGTGTGTCTGTACGTTTCACGATACAGACTTTCATGTCTCATCCCATGCCTGGTGACGACTTCTGCTCAGTTTAAGGTTTCTTTCCTTCGACTCATGAGCTCCATGACTCGAGAAACCCCTAAACCCTAAACCCATAAACCCTAAACCCCTAAACCCTAAACCCTAAACCCAAGTAGGAGGCAAAAAACCCTAAACCCCTAAACCCCTAAACCCCTAAACCCTAAACCCTAAACCCTAAACCCCTAAACCCTATTGCAAGCCATGAATGCGGCCTCGACCAGCGAGCCGCTGGAATAGTTGTCTGGAAACGAAACCTCGGACTGTTGGACTGCAGGCTTAGGGATTTAGATTTAGGGTTGCAGCGTACCCATAGGCCCCACAGTAGTTTCCTTTTTGGGGTTACCTTATAGGATTCTAAGTATGAGCCCCCAAAAGGAACTACTATGGGGCCTATGGGTAACCCCAACGTGGGGTTGAAGCTTGGGGTTTACATTTTAAGAGTCGTTAGGAGCTGACGTCAGAGTCGCAGGAGTAGCGATGAGATAGCGGGTCAGAAGCAATAGCATGGCGTTTGAGTCCTGACGCTCTAAGTATCCTTGCTCAAGAGCCCAATTTCAACAGTCACCGCAAGGCCCCTATATGGTGGTTTGCCGCAGTATTCTGCATGAAATGTTTGGCTGAGAGTGTATGACAATGAAGTTGCAGACAGTGGCTACGTGTCTCTTTCGAAAACTTGCCGTCATGTCGGGTGGTCACGTCAAAGGACCAGAGACAGACAACACAGTGCCCACCTCCGTCAGGATTTTCTGTAAACCACCCAAAGACTCAGCGTTTAGTGCACCCCACGATATCCCCAAACCCCGTACCAACCCCGTTCAAGCCTAAATCCCCTAAACCCCTCAACTTTAAGACCCTCCAATCCCAAGTCCCCGAGAGTATAACCCTCAAGTATACCCTAAACCCTAAACTGTAAACCCTAAACCCTAAACTGTAAACCCTGAACCCTAAACCCTAAACTGTAAACCCTAAACTCTAAACTGTAAACCCTGAACCCCAAACCCTAAACCCTTAACCCTTAACCCTAAACCCTTAACTGTAAACCCTAAACCCTAAACCCTAAACCCTACACTAAACCCTAAACCCTAAACCCTAAACCCTAAACCCTAAACCCTAAACCCTAAACCCTAAACCCTAACCTCACCAAGGCTGACGGCCGCTTGCTCCACAAACTCTCGGGTCGCTGCCTGGACGCCCCTCGGCGCGTACTTTGAAGAAGTAGGGTTTAGGGTTTAGGGTTTAGGGTTTAGGGTTTAGGGTTTAGGGTTTAGGGTAGGGTTTAGGGTTTAGGGTTTAGGATTTAGGGTTTTGGACTTAGATTCTGAGGGCTTTAGGAGGGACCTTTAATAGGGACCCTTGTAGGTTATTGGGGTTTATATGGCTAAATAAGGGGTATATAAGGACTATACATTTGTTGTTTAAGGTACTGGTATTAAGGGTCCCTATTAGGGGTCCCTCCTAAAGTCCTTAGATACATTGAATACTGGGGGTTGCCAGCACGCCCCAAGTACCCTTTCATAGAGCCCTTATGGTCTTTAATAGTGGGTAATGTAGGAAACCTGATTAAGAAACCCTGGCCCTATAACGCCAATATACTAGGGATCAATATTAAGAACCCTAATAAAGAGCCAGGGTTTCTTAATCGGGTTCCTACATTATTTAAGGTTTATATGGAGGGTAGTTAGGGGGCCTGGGAACTTAGGACATGTCAGCTTCGGTATCGGTGCTTGCGGGTCGACCTCGGGGTGCAGAATGTCCTTCTGTAGGGTTTAGGGTTTAGAGTGTAGGGGTTCAGGGTTTAGGGTTTAGGGTTTGCGCTTCAAACAGTAGGTATGCATGCATGTATGTCTGGGTGTGATATAGAATAAGTTGAGTAAATGAACCGGCATATAAGCAGGCACATCTGGAATTTACACATCATGCGGGCTTTCAGTCGGGCCGGGCTGATCGCTGAGGGTTTTTATCTCTCTCGTCTCGAGCTTCAGGTATGTTAGGTGCAGGCGTGTGTGATCGTCCGTCGTACGCCATGTTCCAAGCCGCTTGGAGCAACAGCCTGAAAGCCCCGGCAATCGCGTGAAGCTCACGTGCACTGCAGAGAGCGGAAGCCTTGAATCGCAGAGTTTGCAATGTTCTAGTGCTTGTGAGTATTTTTGCTGCGTGTTCACAGGGCGAGTACTTCTGTTTTACTTGTTAGGGGCAGGTTGCTGAGGCTCGGCAGGTCTTTGGTCACCAGGAGGTGGTTTTGTCATATCGAAGCGAGCGCTACCCTAAGCCACGACTTTGAGGACTTATGGTAACCGTTACAGCACCCGTACCCCTTACGAAGCCCCCCTCCGAATCCTATAGTAGTATCCCTTGTAAAGCGCTTCGGTGCATTGAGTCCTCAACTCGATCAGGTTTCTGGAGAGGTAGCGGTGCATGGAGCCACGTTTGTCTTGCTACCTGGCGACGAAAGGTATTGGAAAATAAGAGGGGCTTACTACATAACAGTTGCGGTAAGGGGTTCTGGAGGGGGTTACTATGGCTGTTGAGGTCTAGGGTTTAGAGTTAGTTGGAGTACTTCGCGGTTTGATGTTACATAAATAGAGCGCAAAAAGCCAAATGTGCGACAGCAACGCTGAGACTGGCACACAGCCGACGACGAAGAGAAACGAGTGTCGCCCGAGGAAAGGTAGTTGGTAGGGCTGCGGCTACAACCCTACTGCTACTGCTACTACTACTACTACTACTACTACTACTTCTACTACTTGTCCTACTTCTACTACTACCTCTACTACTACCTCTACTACTAGCTCCACTACTACCTCTACTACCACTACCACTACCACTACCACTACTACTACTACTACTACTACTACTACTACTACTACTACTACTACTATGACTACTACTACGACGACTACTACTACTACTCCTCCTCCTCCTGCTGCTGCTGCTGCTGCTGCTCCTGCTGCTCCTGCTGCAACTGCTACTCCTACTCCTACTCCTACTCCTACTCCTACTCCTACTACTACTACTACTACTACTACTACTACTACTACTACTACTTCTACTACTCCTACTTCTACTCCTACTCCTACTGC